TATGCAGACCCCATGCGGGGAAAGTGAAGAACGCTTTAAAATCATCGCTAACCCCCAACGGACCAATGGCGAGCGCGTTTATGTCGGGGAAGTGTGCCCTGACCTCGGGCGAGGTCATTTGGGTTCATGTTTTAGTAGTACCACTAACCCCAACTACAATAAAGGCGAACGAGTGAAGAAAGCTGAATATTGTGAAAATTCACCCTACTTAAAATTCGTAAGTAGGCGATTATTCCCGTGGTTAATTTAAAAAGCCATTTTTGCTTAGTATACTGACTTAACCGGCTATTGTATGCGGTTAGCTTCCGATGACCACTCTGTAGTTCAATGGTATCATCCAGTCCCCGCTGGATCGACGACTGGCGTGCAGAAAACTGAAGGATTGTAGGTAATTCAACCTACTTAAAATTTGTAAGTAGGCCGTTATAAAAAAAGGACCCTTCTGCGCCCCCACGAGGTAGTCTTACCAAGTGCACTTCTGGGAGTCGACTAGGGAGTGTTGAGCTACACCGGACTGCGAATTACCACCAGGTCAGCCCCATGCAACCCATCTTGTGCTGTGGTTTTCTTAACTCTGTCTTGACATCAGGTCCAGGTGGGAGAGGAGGATGAGTGGGTACGTAATATGACGAGCAAGTCTACTATCACTGTAAACTACGTCACGTTCAAGTCACCATCCCAGCTTCTTCCTTGTTGTCGACTCACGGTGGATATTGTCCGATCGGCGGTTGCAATCGGGAAAGAATAAAAGTCGAAGTGCTCTGATCTAGTCCTTCAATTTTCTCTTCTACCGCTTGCGCGTCAGAGAATTGCACCTTTCTAAATTCTGGCTGTAAAGAATCCGCACATGTCCTTCCTTAATTGAGTTAACTGTGAGTGGACAACGGAGCCCAGTTGAGGCCACACTAATATTTTTATGATTCTCCGGACTTTTGATTTTCTTTGCGTACAGCGAATGCCTAAAACATTTATCTGGAAAAAGTCTGTTTATAAACGCCTGCATTCGTCTTCCTTATTGCATCAGAAAGAAATAAAGCATCTTCCAAGCTCAGATATTCTTCGATTATCTATTTCGCGGCGTGCTTTTGACGTAGTCATAGCTATAGATCCTTTTAATTCAAACCCCTTATGCAATTTTAGGGATTTCAGAATACAGAACAGGCAATATCTGAGGCAGCTCCATAATGCTTGTGCCCTTTTACCATCTACAGTAGTCGCCGGTTATTAAGCCCACGGTTAATTGGCCTAGCCGTTTATTAAGCCCAATTTGGTCTGGGCCCGAGGTGGGCTTCAAAACCGATGACTACTGTATTATTTAAGATTGAATTGCACTAACAAGTGACGCAGAACTTGAGTGAATTTGCTGGTTATTCTTATATGGTTAATAACTCCTTTTACTTATCCTGATCTCACGGCAGTTTTCCTGTTCCACTTTCCATATAATAAATGACTTTCTAATTTAGTTTGCCTTCTCCAAGCTAGTAGGCGGATGAAAATAGAATCCGCCCAGTATTTTTAAGCAAAGCGTTTTGACCTCGGAATTGAGTAATATCGCGTACGAAAAACGTTGTGGGCTTATAAGCCTTGATCATTTAAATCCTCAGACTGTATGTTCGCGTATTGCTTTTGAGTTCCAAATAATTGTTACGGTACACCTAATTTAATTCAACAACAAGAACCATTAGCAGTCTAATGTGATAAACCACAGGAGTTTTCTTGGATGTTCGCTTAATCAGCAAGACCTTGAATGACTACGGATTTTTCTATAATTCGTAAAAATGACACAAACACACATAACTACTAGTTAAAAATAGGAGATTAAGTTCTGGCGCCGAACAATGTTGAAACTGTCGAATTAGCATGGAAAACAACATGGGCTCCCAGATCAGAAAGCAGAGAAGAGATCTAAATGGAAAATTTTTCGCTGAGGCAGGGAACGCACAGGTAACACTTTCAGCATTCTAGCCTGTAAAGTGAATTTGTCAGCCATGTCACCGGCGCGAGGTGTGTGTGAATGTGACTAGTCGCTAAGATACTTATATAGATCGGTGTCACGGCATCGAAAGTCGAAGATTGAGTCACGCACGTAAACACTGCTTGTTACATGTTTTAAGTGCACCGAAGGC